GTTCTTCGTGTTGGGGTCTTTGAGCTCCTCTCTGTCCATGCATGTACGTAGGAGCATGGAGACACCAGAGACAGTGGCCCAATCAGAGACCCACACCAGGACAGCTTCTGGACAGGGCGGCATTCCTTTCCCTGTTAAACCTCTCAGGAGGCTTTGAGAAAGACCCATGCCCAGGGTCCTTCAAGAGTCAGTTCTTACACAAATAATTGGTACTTTTATCTGTGTGAATCAGTCTTGTCCTTGAATATTTCAGCATTAACAGCTCACCCGAACACAATGTGAGCCAGGGTGTTTGTAAAACTGCCCCCAGCCCCAAACTGAAATAGTTCCAAGAGTGTGTTACAAGTTCTAGCAGGACAGTGTCCCCATTGCAGACCTCAGTCTCCAAACTTGAACTGCATGGCGGCATTCTTAGATGCTTTTATCTGGGAGTTAAGTCAGTTTTGATCTTGCCAGGACTGGAAACCCATGTTTATGGCTGTTGTGAACTGGTTTGCTTAGACAGAGAAAGAGACAAGTATGGCGGGGCTCATCCTTCTCAAGTCAGACAGAAATAATTACGGCCTAAGAGCTGGCTGCCTGCTTTTAAGAGGTGGGTTCTGTTCCTTTGCCAGTATCAGAAACAAAAGCCATCATTTCCCCGACCCGAGGCATCCACTCCCGCTCATTCCCATTGCCAGCCTGTGGCTAGATCTCTTCTTGTAATAAAATAGGACTGACTGGACTTAATTATCTAAAATAAGATTTCAGAGCAGCTTCTGATGGCTCAAACAGGTCACAAAGGTTTCTGCATTTTTGAGCCCCAAATAAAGGTGCAAGGGCTAATACTGATTCATCAATCAAATGCTCACTGAGAGGCCACGGAGGCGGGGGGAGGGGGGGGCTCACAAGTGCCAGCCTGGCATTTGTGAAGCCCTGGAGCATTGTCCCCTACCAAAAAAAGAAAAGAAAATGCTGATTGGAAACCTCTTATTGTAGATATTGACCATTTAGTTATACATGAAGCAGAAAGTGACCCTGTCCCAACAAGGCAGGAAATTGATGGGAGAGACCCATAAAAAACAAATAATATATGAAGCTAAATTGTAACAAATGGTAATGAAGAAATAGCATATGCCTCAGGTGAAGATTGAAGTGGGCGGCAGTGATCCAGGCTCCTTTAAGAAGGTAACCTGGAAGGTGAAATGTAGCTGTCCGAGAAGTGCAGGCTTGGAACTGCCAAGCACACGGTCCTGAGATGGCGCCCGGGCGATGTGTAAGGTAGAGGTTGTCGGATGAGATGAAGCAGCAGGCAGCCTTGAAGGCCATGATGCTTGCTCTAAGATAGCCATGTGCAGAGGCTGGAAATAGAGCAGCCATTTCCCAAGGCTTGGGAAAGGAAGTCATGGTGGCATCTTACCCACAATCCCCTGGGAGATGACTACTCAGACGACAAGGTCTGTGCCTGGATGAGGAAGAAGAGATGTCACTGGCTGTTGAGCTCCCCGGGGGCCTTTATTCTCTCTGGAGAATCACCTCTTATCCTGAGTTACAGGCCAGGCTAGGGATCCACAGGCAGATTGGACAAACTGCCATACCTGGTGCTCATATAGCGGGCCAGGGAACTTGAACCCAGCGGTGTCTCCAGAAGCCCCGCCTTCCCCATCTAGGGAAGCAGAGTAGACACTGGATGCCCAGGAGCTCTTTGCCCAGGTGACAGTCATCCCCAGGTCCTCTGATGCCCAATTTGGTCATTTCAACACCCTTCAAGCTTCCTAATACTTACAGGAAGTACTTACCTGCCCAAGTTGCAGACTCTGTTGGGTCCGTCTGGGGGAGAGAAAGGGCAGGTGGAGGTCAGCAGTTGGAGTAAACATACTTTAACAAATGCCTCTTTTCCCCACTTACTCCATTTTAAAATCCTACCATTGCCATACAGAACAAGCTTGGTTGCCATTTGCAGATGAGGAAGCTGATGCCCAGGTAATATTCCCACAGTGACAGAGCTCGTGGGCAGGGGGAGCACACAGCTCTTCCTCTCTCTGTGACTTTAAGAAAGTAAAAATAAAAGCCACTCTGTGCAGTCACCGGGCTGATCATGTCATTCGACCCTCACTGGAACCATTCAATAAATTGGATGTTGTGTGGTTGAAAAGGTTTGGTAAATTGACCAGGACCACACATATCAGCAAGTGAGGAGCAATTCAGGAGATGCTGCTGGTGTCTACTCAGGAGAATGATCCCCCAGCTCTGCTGAGCTGTGTAAGCCAGAAACAGCTCCATTTCAGAGAGGGAGACTTTGAAGACCAAACACAGGAAATGTCTCAACACAACTCACATGGTTACACAAAGGTAACAAAATCCACGTGTCCCAATCTTGGAGCACACTGGTTGGGTGGGGAGTCCTTTGCCTTGTACCACTGGGTTAGAAGTACCTCCATAAGGTCAACTGGTATTCGGTGGCTCATGAGAAGGGGACAGTTTGACAATTAGACTTTGGGGTCCTTCAGGCAGGCATTCCTCCGAAGCTATTATTTCTTCCGTGGGTTTTAGACAGCCGCAACTCTGCGTAGCTTCTGAGGTCAGGCACATTTGGATGACACGGCTGAAGACATGAGCTATTACTTCTATTCAGTGTGTTTAAAAGTCCCAAAGTAATAAGATTCCCAATGTCCTGAAGACGGCAGAGCGGGGCCGTTCAGGTGGAGAGGAAGCCTCACACCTAGGCAAGACCCACCTTCACCCTATTCCCGCTTGCTATTTCAGAAGATGACGGTACATTCTAAAGGAAGCGCCCACTCCATGCTCTCCTCTCGCTGTGGTTCGTTGGGGAATTTCCACTGACCACCGCTTGAATTTATCCTGACTTTCCAGTGAAACTGTGATGCAATGATCTGACCATGCTCAGTTTGCCTTTGCAGAAATTCTGTGGGCAGTGACACCGGAAGGTGCGTGAGGGCTGGATTCAGATAACACTGAAATGGGCTGGCAGCTTTGATTCCTGACGCTTGGCCCAATTACCGTGCTCTCTTGTCCCCAGCTGTCCCCACTTACTGCGGTTGAGGGCAGTGTCTGGTTATGGGAATGGGAGCCCAGCCACTGGTTCCTTGCCATCTGCACCCCAGAGGTTCCCCTCCAATCGATGTTTAAGAGTGTGCCTGACTTCCTATTAATGGGCACTTGAGTCAGCGCATATGGCCTGTGTGTGTTTGATCAACAGTAAATGAGTGTTGAGCAAATGTTGGCAGGAACCTCCTCTTGGGAAATCTGTAGGATCAGCAAACTGGGGACACATCTGCCCCATAAGTGTATTTAAACTTATTTTTATTTATGGCAACCAGATCCTGTGCTGATTTCTCCCTTCTGTTCATAGGAAGGCAGAAGAGATGTTAATTCCCCCCCCCGCCCCGCACCCCCCAAGTTCTGGCCTGGAGCCTAGCAAACCATGACAAGAGGAAGAGTTTGCCTTCCAAGCCCTGACCAGGAACTAAGGGTTTCTCTCAGAGTCCACAGTGCAGCCCTGCAGTCCCCATGTCCTGCTTCACGGAGCTCAGACCACTTTCCAGAGCAAGCATCTCCACAGCAGTAGCCTTTCCTTAAGCCAGCTCGTTTCGCATCTTCAGAACCACCTCCCTTTTGGGGGCCCCATCCAGTTCCCGTCTCAACCCCAAGGCACTGTGGAGTCCCTTCCTGGAGACTGTCCAGGTGTCTCCTGCAGCCTGAGATCGCCCCTCCCGGAACCCCAGTAGCAGCCATTCTGAGAGCCTCTCTTGGATCTTTTCCCTACCATAAAGCAGCCCCTCCCTCCACAGATGCGCAATTGTGGGGCCCCAGAGGCTGCCCATCTGTCCTCTTTCTGGTCTTACATATTTACCCATTATAAAGCTGCCCAGAGGACTGTGCGGCATTCGTGACCCATGGAAGACCCACACTGACCCACAGATGGACATTTTGTAGCTGAGCAAAATACCCTCAGCCCTTCCCCTACCCTCACTTCCAATACTGCAGCTGTAAGAGACAAGAGACAAGAGACAAGAGCATTCTCGGCTCTGTTCATACTGGCAGGCTGGAATACGAAGTAAAAATAGAGTCAAACTGTAGTTGCTGGAGTAGAGCAGAAAGTCTTTTTAAAAAAAATCACGTGCCTCAGCAGTCACTAATTACAGTGAGGCTCTGTGGACTTTGGGGCCAGGCATTACTCCTGCTATTGTTCTGATTCTGCTTATTAAAAAGCCCCAAGTCACACAGATTCCCACAGCTGCAGAGGCTACCGGAGCCTTCTCAGAAAGTTGCAGCTCCTTCCCTGGCCCTGCAGTTCCCTCTCTCTAGGAAACAGCAGCTGTGATTTCATAGAAAAATGGCTTCTGAAAAGCAAGCTTGTTATACTAGTGTGGTGCTCCAAGGGGCGCGGGTGGGGGGTAAAAATGTTCTCCTACTGAGCAAACCAGAATCCAGTGGTCACAGCTCTCTGCGCTTTCCTCCTGAAAACATGGTGGGAACATGGTTTAGTGGGAAAGCAGTGTCCTCAGTTTCCCAAGCTTGCCCTGTCTGCCTTCAGACCAGACAACCACCGGCCATGCAAATTATAAAGAATGACATGCTTATGCAGGCTGGGGATATGTCCCAAAACTTTCACATGTCAAAGTTTATGCTTTCTTTATTTGGAATATAGTATCAGAGCAAATAAAATCACTGTGTCCCAGAAAGATGCATGTGAAATACTCAGCATTTATTTTAAAGGCTGACATGGACCTTGGCCCATTTCCATTTGGAGGGGTTGTTGTTGTT